CACCTAAAGATCACTTAAACAAAAAAGGTTACAAGACAATGTTTATTCGACGTCGCAGAACCTTCCTACTTTGCTGTAGTACTAGTCCAACGTCGGCACAACGTTATAAAAACGTTTAAATTTATTTTAATACCCAAGGGAGGGAGCTAACTATTTTTTGTAACTAATCCAACGTGTTTCGTTTATTAGTCGCCCACCTTTAACACCTTTAACTATGAATTTGTCACATTTTTTTCTGAAAAGTCAGTTTGCCCTGTCAAGTAAACGCGAGCACTTTTTGCCCAGAAAAATCATTTTAAAAATTACGATGAGCGATTCCGAAAGTCTCCCTTCAGATGTAGAAGTGGACCCAGTACGTGCCACGGAATCATTATTGCCGGAAAAGTTAATATATTTAGATGTTCGTAGTTGTTTTTCATTATTATAGCAACTAGTTGTGTTATGAATCTCATAACGTAACTGAAATACTAAAAAATAGTGATGTAAAAACGTTATAACTAAACGGTTGTAGATAAAAATACAAACAATCGATTATATTATTACATTCTTTATTAATTTAAAATGTGTTATAAGGATGATATGAGTAAGTATTCCAAATATAATCCCAAAATATTGTCAGATTCTTTCTGTCAGTAAGTTTCATTGTCAAATTATCTCCAATTTCCAAATATTGAACTTTATCAGGTAGGGCGCGTTCCCATTTGACGTTTTGAAGAACACCAGATGCGTCATCATCAGGAGTAGGGTTACTACAGAGGAAATAAATAAATATAAAATTAAGTTGATGTTAGTTTGGTGTCATTTACTGTGTTTTGGCAAAGTTAGTCCATAATTTTACTAATCTACTTCTGGTGAGGTAGTCTTCGTCAGTTTTAAGATGTCTGCTCATATTGAAGAGATAAACGAGTTCATCCCCATGACCAATATCTCCAGCTCCTAGAATGAAAATCGCTCTCATATACAGGGTGTTTCAAAAAACACGTGGCATTCTACTTTGTTTCGTAGCTACAGGGTGTTAAAGTTTTAATAATCTTTCGATTTAATATAAATTTCTGTATTAATTTAATAAATTTAATAAATTAAGGAGGCCAAAATCGACATAATATTAAGAGACAACTTTTAATCGGCATTAAACGGCTTACACTATTTCGCTAACAAGAGAAAAAAAGTCAGTGGCGTACCTGCTTTTTTTAGAAAAATATTCCAGTAACAACCCATATATATGGACGTCCCTGGTGAATATGTCGCCACTTTTTTAGCTTTAAAATATGTCGCAATTATAGTAACTTTTACCCTCAAAATTTTATTCGAAACGCTAAAAGTACTTGGAAGAAAATTATAATAAATCGAAAAAATATTAAGACTTTAACACCCTGTAGCTACGAAACAAATCACAATTGGGTCTATGTTGATATGAAAAATAAATATTATTTTTATGTGAGGAATCTCCCCATGAGAGATGGCACATGCTTTTTGAAACACCCTGTATAGAATCAACATATAGAATGTTCAGCTATCGTTCGACGTGACGTTATTTGGTTTGGGTTATAATTTTATTGACGAACATCGATCAATGTCAAAATTAAAATTTGAATGTTGCTGTAAAGCAAAATTCTAATTTTTTATTGCAAGAATACCTCAAAGATTAAACCAAAATGAGCAACAGCTCGTTGCTAAGCTTATAAATTATTTTTCTCGAGAAAGAGACTCTGGTAAAACACTCTTGCCCGTATATGAAGTAAGTACAATGCAAAGGTGTAATATTCCTATGTAAAATACAAATTGATATAGCGAGTTGCTGATGCTTTAGAAATAGGAAATTCAACAGTCCAAAGGATTGGAATTAAAAGGATCGTAACTGATGAAGAAAAAATAATATATGCCGAAAAAAACGGAACTCGCTCACTCAATAATATAGAAACGTACTTGAAATTTTCTAAACAATATGAACTGATCTCAGACACACCCTAAAACTCATATTTGACAAATAATGATGACGTAACGTTGAACGATTGCCGAACAGTCTTTAAGTTATTTTGTGAGAAATCTACAGAATGGCGAAAAATCCAAACTACACACACCGGAAAAGTCTAGGGATATTACAATTTTATCCAGCCATCGTCAGTAATTTTATTTGCATTTCTGATATAATAAAATTAAAATAAACAAATCGTTTACAGAACGTATTTATTGGAAAAAAAATGCGAAATTTACCGAATTTTTCAAATTTACTCCTTTGATTTTTATTGAACTCAAAAAAATACACACTTTTTTTTTCATTCTAAGCTGTGAATTAAAAAAAGATAAAACTATTTTTACTTAATAAAGGGTATGGCCTCCTCTACTGTTCATTACAGCCCTACATTGTCTCTCCATGCTCCTGATAGGTTGTCGATCTCTTCTTGAGGTACAGCCTGCCACGCTGCATTCACGGCCCGAACCAGATCCCTACGAGTTTCACGAGGCATACGCATTCCCAAAATTCTTCTTTGGACCGCGTCCCATACGTGCTCGATGAGGTTGAGGTCAGGAGATTGTGCCGGCCAGGGTAAGATGTTTAATTGATGAGCATTGATAAACTCACTTACCACTCTGGCTGTATGAGGCCGTGCATTGTCATGCATGAAAATGAAGTTTCTCCCAAAATCATTAGCATAGGTCATAGGTAACAGGACAGGCTCAAGAATTAAATCACGATATGTGATTCCTGTTAGAAACCTTTCAAGAAAAACGAGATCGGTTTTTCGGCCTAACTGGACTCCTCCCAAGACCATAACTGTTCCACCTTGATAAGGGTGCACTTCCTGAACATGATCTAACCGAATAAGATTTCCCGGTTCTCTCCATACCCTAAGTCTTTTCGAATCCGGATGAATTCCAAAGCGTGACTCATCCGTGAAGAGAACATTGGCCCATTGTTCATTCGACCACTGAACATGATCTTGAGCCCACAAATATCGTACTTCTCGATTTCCTCTCGTTAAGGGTTGAGCTCTCCAGGGGCGTCTACTTCTTAAGTTGACCTCTCTTAATCTATTGTGAACAGTGTCAGGACTAACGGTTACATTATGTGTTTCCTGGAGAATTAAACTAAGCTCTGGTGCTGTAAGAGTCGGTCGGCGTCGATCATTTAATTGTAAAAAATGATCTTCCTGAGGGGTAGTAATGCGATGTCGCCCTGTGTGCCTTTCTGCAACATCACCACTTTCACGGTAGCGTGCACTTAATCGCGATATTACACCTTGCCTTGTATTTAATGCTCTAGCTACGTTGATTTGGCGCATTCCAGCTTCGAGCATACCCATGGCCCTTAGCATTTCGTCTCTGTTAAGATGTCTACGCTCCATAATGTAGTTTAATACTAAACAGAGTTATTTGAATGAATTCTGGCCAGTTATCATAAAAAACATAGCCAGTACAGGTTAAATTCGAACAATTGATGCTAGGTGCTTTTTATACATTTGACAAAAAATGCACAAACACTTCTGCAAATATCCCAAATTTAGAAATAACTAGTGTGATTACTTCGTTTCAATCGAAGTAGAAAGAATCGGCCTACAAATATGTGGCTGTTTATTCAAAACATTTATTTTTAATTTGAATAAAATGATATCCCTAGATTTTTCCGGTGTGTGTATTTTCAAGCGACCCCTATGCTGTTATTACCTGGTACGACCACATGTCCTTCACTGCCTGTTCCATAAAATACAAATTCGTACATATAAACTGGCACAAACTGAGATTCCAGTATAACAGTCTTGTAGGTACTTCTAACATACTTCTTATCACTCACCCACTAAAAAAAAGAAGAGTTAATCTATGTACAACACCTTTATTATGTTATGAATGGGTACTATCTTAAAAAAATATAAACCCAAAAAAGGTACATAGATTAAAACAACTCTTTAAAAGTATAAAATCAAAAATTGTTAATGTTTTTCAACAGGAATTATTTTACAATAGTATGCTATACAAAACTAATCACACTAAAATAGGCTATAGTCTGTCCAACTAGGAAGGAACGATATTGACAGATGACGTCCAAAAAATACCAGAAATTACAATTTACCTGCGAATTAAAATATCAGACATAACTGTCACTGTCAGAGACCTTGTCGGACAGACTATACAGGGTGCTATAAATTCGAGGTACGAGCATTGGTATCTGGGAAACCGTAATAGATACGAAAATAGTTAAATTGGGGCAAAGTTGCGCCTTGGGATGTTTACCAAAATGACATCAAAAAAGTTTAAAAATTTCAAGGATTGCCTGTCGTTACTTTTTTTAAAAAACACAGTATTCTCAGCACATTCTCATGGCTACTTTATTAGGGCTATCTAATAGTATTTTTAGATTTTCGAATTGGCGGATAATTTGTGAGATACAGAGGGTGACTTAACTTTTTTAAATACAGACCTGCATTTTTTATTTCGGGTTTTAAAAGGACACGGTCTCCCGAGTACAATGATATGCCACACTTAATTTTGTTTTGTTGAGGACACAACATTAAAAACTAGTTTTTAGAAGTTGATTTATTTATTATAACTACGATTAATATTATGCATATTATTAGATGGCACACTGAGATTTCAAATACACAATAAAAAAAGTTAATAATAATAGCTTTAAATTGGTGAGCTGGATATTATTTATTTGAATCTTCCAATTGGCTCGATTTTCCTTATTCAATGTTAATTAGCGTTCAATATCGTTGCGATGAATATATCAGATTAAATAATTCAAAAACTAAAAGTCGGACTTATTTTAGCCCGGAAATTATTTTAAATAATAACTAAATAGTTTTGTTGGTGTTAGGTACCAAAAACAAAAAAAAGTATAAAGTGGCATATGATTGTACTCGGAAACCGAGTTCTTTCAAAACCTGAAATAAAATGCAGCCCTGTATTTAAAAAAATAAAGGCTAACACTCTGTATCTCACAAACTATCAGCTAATTTGAAAATTTACAAAATACTCAACAGATAACCCTAAGAGAATGGCTATGAGAATGTGCAATTCGTTTTTGATTTTCTAAAAAGTAACGACAGGAAAAAATAAATTGATTTTCAAAAATCCAGTTTTTTTCCAAAAAAATCAGCAATCCTTGAAATTTTTAAAACTTTTCCCCAATTTAACCATGTGAATTAAGGAAACTACAGGTCGCACAACCATGGATCAGTAACGTTAGTAGCGTTAGTAACATTAGTAACATTAGAAACATTAGTAACATTAGTAACAACAATTATTGAAAATTATTAACCTTCATGAACTTTCCTAAATTATCACTAAAATTTCCACCTCCTCCCACATATTCAGCTCGAATTTCTTCATCTATTTTGACAGCATCAGATCCATTTTTAGCAACATAGATGGCACGACTAGTTTAAGATGTGCATCGTAAATTAGCAGCAGAAGTTTTAACAGCATCCAAACCTAAATTTCAAGGCAATTATTTTTTATTAAGAAAAAAGAATTAACTCACTTCAAAAAGGATAAGCCTTCTTCTAGGTTGTGTCCCAGTAATAGAGGTACCTTGGTACTATTTCCAGAAGCTATTAGTTCGTAAAATGGATCAGAAATGAATGCATCATCCCGATTGACTTCTCTAAGTGGGCCAAACTAGTAAAAATATAAAAATAAAACTATAAATATTGTGTATATACTACCCTTATCTATCTGGTCATGAATAAATAGTATAACTATAATAAATAAATTCTTTTGTTTTTATTTTGTTATGTATAAGCTCGACGTACTTTTGCAGTACCCTGTAGCTATTAATATTTGAACTCACTGTATAGTTTCTTGCAGCTTGGTAAAGATCATCGGTTGGCACAGCTTGTAAAACTTTCTTAACATCAGTGGAACTGCTGCTTGACGTTACGCTGGTGTCAAATTTTTTCGCCAGTTTATAGGCTACGTCTTTTAGATTATTGGTATAAAAATAGCTTAGTGCGTTGGCGCTTTGCATGATGGCTGCGTTGAATAATCCTAGAAAGAAAAATACGAATCTGTTTAGTTAGTAGGCTTGCTGTCTTTCTTCTTTCTTTGCTGCCTAGCTTATCCACACTTAGTAAGTAAACGATATACATAAGATACCATTTTGATCCCAGTCTATTTACAAATAACCAGACTTTTTTTTAATTTAAAAGATTTTTTTTTGAGAATCTGTTTCGTACGAAAGCTAAGAGCGGCCATATCAACATTGAAAAATATGTTTAGCAAAATTTACAGCTTTTCTGTAAATTTACACTTTTTTTGTAAATTTACACATTTTCTGTAAAGTTACATATTTTCTGGAAATTTACACTTTTTCTGTAAATTTACATTTTTTTCTGTAAATTTAAACTTTTTCTGTAAATTTACACTTTTTCTGAAATTTACATATTTTCTGAAATGTTCACTTTCCTTTAAATTTACACATTTTCTGTAAAGTTACATATTTTCTCTGAATTTACACTTTTTCTGTGAATTTACACTTTTTCTTTAAATTCACAAATTTTCTGTAAATTTACACATTTTCTGAAAAGTTACATATTTTCTGGAAATTTACACTTTTTCTGTAAATTTACATTTTTTTCTGTAAATTTAAACTTTTTCTGTAAATTTACACTTTTTCTGTAAATTTACATATTTTCTGTAAATGTTCACTTTCCTGTAAATTTACACATTTTCTGTAAAGTTACATATTTTCTGTGAATTTACACTTTTTCTGTGAATTTACACTTTTTCTTTAAATTTACAAATTTTCTGTAAATTTACACATTTTCTGAAGTTACATATTTTCTGGAAATTTACACTTTTTCTGTAAATTTACATTTCTTTCTGTAAATTTACACATTTTCTGAAAAGTTACATATTTTCTGTAAATTTACACATTTTCTGAAAAGTTAAATATTTTCTGGAAAATTACCCTTTTTCTGTAAATTTACACATTTTTGTTAATTTATACTTTTTCTGAACTATTGCAGAATACTGTGTATTCAAACAATCTTAGATCTAGAAAATATGATAACATACCTTTAGATTTTGGGCTGATAAGGTGAAAACCCACTGATCTACCTCCCGCACTCTCACCAAATATGGTTATATTATCAGGATTTCCTCCAAAATAGCCTATATTGTTTTTAGTCCATTTCAAAGCCAGTAATTGATCTTTCAATCCAGCATTGCCTGATATTACGGTATCCTTAGTCGACAAAAATCCAAAAGAACCTAAATTAAATTCAGTAAAATAAAACATAGCGGATTTACATAGTCTGGAAGTACCTAGTCTGTAATTAAAGGTGACCACGATTACACCTTCTTGGACAAGGGGTGTGGGATCGTAATAGTTAAAATCACCAGAACCACTGGCGTATGAACCTCCGTAAATCCAAAACATGACAGGTAAAGAGGAGTTGTACTAAAAATTAATTATTTATTTTAATGACACGAACAAGTCCAGTTG